CTGAACTGTAGGAGAAGGTCCTATTCTTTCTACTAGAAAGTAGAACACACAGTGCTTAGTTTAAGTCACGACATGAGTTTAGGACCAGGAAAAGTTGCATGCTCAGCTACTCTGTTATCTTTATTCTATGTGGGTACCACCAATCATATAAGTCAAAATACCAATGTTGACTGTCCAGCACAGCTGAGGTGGAGGGGCGAGGAGCTTAACGCAGCAGGTTCCCACCTGACCTGTGTCTTAACTACTTTCCTTTCCCAGGTCCACAGAGCTGCAACCTCAGCTGGAACAGGACACTGCCCAGGATGAGAGCCACTTGCAGAAGGATGTGCTACAGCAAGAGCCTCCTGCTGAGCCTAATATCCAGCAAATACTGAACTCCTCAGATGCAACAGAGGAATTCCCACACTCATCCTGAAAAACCTGTTAAAATTGATGACTTCCTGGCAAGGCAAACTCCAGGCTGTACATCTGTACCTTTCAAAATGTGGCAAGAGAATGCTGTTTATCTCAGTTTTCCTTTGGTTTTTGGTTTACATTTTTGCTTTTGGTTGTTTTGTTATAGTTTTTGCTATTTTGGTGTTTTTTGTTCTTGTTATTGTTTTTCATAATTTGTTATGGCTATCCCGTTTGTATTGACTACCATTTTAAAGCCCCTTTTGAAAACATTGTTTTTATGAATAATAAAGCAATTTGCAACTGTTCACACTTACACACAAGTCTTTTTCAGGTCTGGTGTCACACTCCAATATCCCCACAGCTCACATGTATAGGTGGATCCCTGCACGTTCCATGCAGCATGGGCTACACAGTGAGTTCCCAACCAGCATCAATCACATAGGTGTTGTTGGCCTTGAGTGTGGATAGCAGAAGTTAGAGCTTGGATAGATACTTTGTGATGGAGTCTGTTTCCATTCTGTTTCCACATTGTTATCTATTAACTATGCCTATTACATGGTACTCTATAGACACATTTTCACAAATTGATCATAAGGACCAAATTATTGAGAAATAAAAATATATTGCTCTATACACTCTTGAGCAACAAAATCATTCAAAACACATAATCATTTCATAAAAGATATCAGGAAACCAAAGGTATCTATCTGACTCTGTTTTCTTGTAATACACCATCAATAATAAACACACAGCAAATCACTGTGTGAAATAGCTTTTAATAACCACCTTTGCTCATGATACAGCAATTGCCCCTCATGCTTGCAGGTCTTGCAGAGGCCAGAAGAGGGCATTGAGTACCTTGTCGTCAATGGTTGTTAGGTGCCATGTTAGAGAGCAGGAAATGCTATTAGACTATGTGTTGTATCTGCAGCTTCTGCTCTTGACTTTGTCCTTCAAACACTAGGTGCTGTATTAGACTAACGGTTGTTATAATTTCAAGGTCATTGTCCTCATGCTACAATCTGTCTAAAGTTCCTTTAAATATATATATATATACATATATATATATAATGCTTCAGTCAGTTAGCACTATATATTATTTACAGATTATAGTAAACTGTGTTACTCATATCTAGTTATTTTAGTCAGGTTCCCTAGATGCTCAGAGATGCACTGAGCATAGATATTTGATTTTCAAAGACTTCCAATACCAATATAATATGGCATTTATATGTTTTAATAATTTAGAATGCTGTTAACATGAGACAGAGTTGCTCTTGACAACATGGAATTATACTGGTTAATATTGTGGGCACCGGAGACCCTTCACTTGGAGTTTGGTTTCTTCTTGGCAAAAGTGGCCTATGGGAAAACAAGTGCCCTTGCTACCACTGCTGACAATGGGCTTACTGTCCTAACTGGACAAGCAGGAGAGAAGCAAAAAGAGAACGCTAAATCATTCCAAGACATGATAGGACATTCTTTCGAGTTTTCCTGCTTTTGGTAATGATCTGTCAGATATTCTAGGCCTTAGCCAAAGTTGATTGCTCAGACATTACTGTGATATCTTGGGTAACTGTCCAGGCATCCAATTGTTTTTGTAATTTCTTAAAACTTTAGGAAGTCACCTGCTTATACTTCCTGCTTGCCAAAGTAATGTTATTTTCCATCTCAGGTGTGTGATGAGGTTAAAGACCAGATAGTCACAACTAATATCCTCTCTTATCTTATTTAGAGCACATTAGGTACAAGACCTAGGCTTTCTGGAATAGGAAAACTATTGGAGTGATCTCGGTAACATGCCATTTACCCTTGGCTGTGTATTTAGTATGCATTTCTTGTTTAATGCTGCTCTTGCTGGTTGAAGGTCTAAATTTGTATCCATTATTACCTTTGTTTCTCCTAGACTAAACCTGATATGTTATCATTGCATATAATGTTTGAATCAGGGTGAAAACCCTCTTATTTAGACAAAGGGAGCAAGTGTAGGGGCAACATGTTCCTCCAATAGAGTTTTGGTACCTGCCTTTGGGTGTGGATTCGGTGTGCAGATGCCATCCCTAATAAGGAAGAGACGTGTCTTGCTCTGTTTTGTGGTGGTCTGAGCATCCTGTATCATAGCATCCTGTACCTTAAGGGCAGAAGGTCATGACAGCTACTTGTCCTCAGTGTGAGTACCCCAAAATATATTTCCATTATTCTTTTATTTGGGCATTCCAGTATTTCCTTAATCCATCTTCACACAAACAAGAGTGAAGTCTCTGGTGACATGTAGGGATAGGCCCATGAGGTAGACATGCTAATTGTCTTAGTCTGCCAGGCATTTATTCAGGACTCTGATGTCCCCACTGATCCCTGAGTGTTCAGGATCATGCTACAGCATCACTTACTGTGACAATTGGAGCAAACCTGTCACTTCTCACCTAGGGAACAATGCATATTAGGCACATCTGATGAAATGCAGCGTTTATTATATTATCCATGGGCCTGGGTGTGGGGACAGAGATTTTGGTAACAAGAAAGGTCTCCAACTAAGCAGTGTTTGGAGGAAGCTTCAGAGCAGGCTCAGTGCATGGAGCCTGCTGCAGAGGACACATGCTTCTGGTGGAGGGCAAGACCTTGCAAGCCTGAGACATGAGAGGGACAGTTAAACCTGACTGTTCCCATGGCACATCTCAGCGTCTATTGAGGAAGGATTCCTTCCTGGTGATTGTTTTAATTGTAGAGCTCCTGGGAGTGGATCAGTCTTCTAAGATGGAGGTGAGTCAGAGGGGTGAAATATGGAGATAGTAATCTCGTGGATCCCAGACAGGTGCTGAGAAACTAGGGCTTCTACAAGGTCAGCAGTGAGAGAAACAGGGCAGAGGACATGGTTAGTCTCTGCCATTGTCCACATTCTCTTTCTGAGCTGACCCTGCTTTTCACATTTCTATGCTGGTATCTCTTCTATTGTGGTTAGATTGTGGTTGTGTGTGTGTGTGTGTGTGTGTGTTGCACATTTTTCCTTTTGGTGGTGTTGAATATTAAATCTAGAGAATAATTTATGCTAGGCAAACATTTTACCAGTTTTAAAACCATTTCCCCTATAGACCTTCCCTTTATTGGTTTTTCCCTTTGTTGTTCAGATGTTTGCTTTAAACAGGGTCTCATGAAACTCAAGGCAGCCTCAAACTCCTCATCTTCCCACAACCACATCTGGGCAGCCATTTTGTAATCTGAGACATGAATTCACTAAATTGCTCAGTTTGGCTATGAGCTTGCTGTGGTTAAACATGCACCTGCGTGCAGGGGCGCGCACACACACATACACACACACACACTCACCTCTTCATACCAAGTGAGTAACAGGACTACACAAGAGATCTGAGGCAGACTGCATCTGTCCTGCCCCCAACATATTGTGGTGTGCTTTATACATTGTTTCTCTATAGTTTTTTGGGGGGAGTTGAGACAGGTTTCTGTGTATTGTCTTGGAAGCTGTCCTGGAACTTGCTCTGTAGACCAGGCTGGCCTCAAACTCACAGAGATCTGCCTGCCTCTCCCTCCGGATTACTGGGATTACAGGCGTGTGCCACCAATGCCCAGCTTCTTTCTACTTTTTATTCTAAAAATATTAACATAGTCTTCATTTTCTTAATTTCTACACTATACTATATTGATCATTCATCAGTTTGTTTCTTTTTCATTTTTTGTGTATTTGTTTGCAGGTGCAACAGACATGTTATTTTTGTTATATTGTATATATATTTCTATACTTTTTAAAAAATTGTACCTTTACATTGATTTAAAGTGTAATATAAAGTTCTAATTCTTGAAAGTTATTATTACAACCTCTTTAAGTTAGTTAAGAAATGTAGGTTAGTAGTTAGTCAACTGTATTAAGCTTGTTGTCATTTTTGCTCGGTTTTTAAGGTTAAGCATGTGTGTTAGACAGATAAATGGTCTTCAAACCCTCCAGAGACCTACAAAATACAATATTGAAGATATTTCATAACCTAAGGCTTTTCATGATCGTGAGGCATATCTGCTGCTGGCATCACCAGTCTACTTTCTAAAAGGAGGGCAGGCATTGAAGAACCTACATAAGGAGTTTGTTTTTATTGTAGCAAAGCTAGCTATTTGGGCAAGAAATTGCCCTTGCCTAAACTTGCTGACAATATACTGTACAAATTGAACAAGCAGGACACAAAGAAAAATGGCTGCAAAATATTCTAAGACAAGGTGGTACAGTCCTTCAAAATCTCTGTTTTACAGAACATCTGTCAGATACTCTAAGCCTCTAGACTGAAGGTGGATAACCTAACATTGCAGAACAATTTTGGGTGAGCATATAGACAGCCAGATGTCTGTCTTTCCTAGAGTTTTGGAGTTGCTTATTCTGCACTTCCTGTCTACTCAAGTAATATATCCTTCTCAGGGCTCTGACAAAGTTGAAGATGAAATAGTTGTTGTGTTTCATGTCACCAAATTCAGAAAAGAATCCTGCAGAAGAGATATAAACTTTATAAATCTAAGAAGCATAAAAGCTTAACTTGTTGATATAAGAAAACTTTTTGTGACCTAAAAAGATAAATTTTAATTGTTAATACATGTTAGGATAAGAGGCAAATTAGGTACATAGCTTTGGATTCACCATGATAGTATCAATTATGGTGTACCATTTGCAGAATTTGCCAAAGGCAAGTGGGCTGGGTATTGTAAATTTAACACTTATTTGATAATTGTTCCTCCTTTTGGTTTCTTGAGACAGGGATTATATGTTTAACAGAATCTAGGAGATATTTTGGCAGAGAACCAAGTTCCTTATATCAAGCAACAAGTTGATTGGTTGTTTCAAAACAGTGATTCACGGGAAAATGCTTTTGTCATTTTCAAAGAGAATTGATGATCAGGTTCCAGCTCACAGATTGTCACAATTCATACTAACAACTCCTTCTGCATTCCCAAACCTGTAGAAAAAGTCCTATAATTGTTAGTTTTTACTCATGGTTCTGCTAATGGAAGAGCAACTTATGGTGTAGATGATAAAAAGTACATGGAGGGAACAACTCCGGCTTCAGCTCAGATAGTTGAGTTAGAGTTGTCACAATGGTTTTCCAACTTCTAGTAAATGACTCATTTAATTTGCATACATTTTTATATTCTTCAAGTAATAGAGACAGTTCACTGCATAGGAACTTGCAATGATCTGGTTAAAATATTGATTGAATAAGTTCCAAATTCAATTCTTCTAAAAACATTGCCACATCTTGTGGATGACAGGAGAGCTCATTTAACCTTCCAGGCCCACTGGAAAAAGGGAACAAGTCAACAGATAGATTAACAAAAGTGGTCGCTTTATCTCTGGTAGAGAGAGCTCTGCAGTCTCATAAGTTTCATCATCAGAATAACAGGAATTTAAGAAAGCAATTTGGTTTAACTAGAGAGACTGCTCGTCAAGAGTGTCCAACAATGAGGTGTGCCCACAAACTAATAAAAGAATGATGGCAGATTGCTTTTACTCTTATTACAGAATTTTGCAAGTTAAAATGCATACACATGGCAGTTGATAGGTATTCAGGTTACTTGGTGTTCACCATACAAAGGGGAAAAGCCACCAAACATGAAATAAGTCATTGTTTACAAAATGTTTTGCTTACATAGCAGTTCCAAAAGTGATAAAAACAGATAACAGGTCTAGACACTCAATGGAAAATTGATCAAAATGAAACTTCAAAATGTATAAAAGGGAGTGGGGGATAATTGTCCTCAGTTTCCACATGATTCAAAATTTTAAAATGTTGATGCCACTGAGCAGTTTGCTTCAGACATTTTCTGGCATGATGAAACTTGAGCGGTTATTGCTCAGGTCAAATGGAGACATCCATACGCTAGACAGTGGAGAAGACCCGATTCTGTCCTAATTTGGAGTCATGAATGAAAGGAAAGTGTTGGTTCCAGATTCTCAGTTTCTGAACAGACCTGCTGCATCAGCCTCCCAGACGCATGAGTTTTCATGCTGGAGCCGACAAAGAACTGGATGGCTATAAATTTTTCCTTGACACACCTTGAAACACAAAATTCATTTTCCAGTTTTTCCCTTTGGGGAAAAAAAGGACCATTTAAAACAATTTAACACTAGTGTGGACCGTGAGGAGTGGCAAAAGCCCCTTTTAAGTATTTGGACAGGACATGGCCACTTAAAAAGATGTTGGAGTGGTGAAATATCAGCCTTGGTGGATGGTATTCCTGGTATCATGCCCATGCCAGTGTATTTCTCTGGAGAAACACAGTTTGGCCTAATGCAACAAAAAAGAGACTTTGGCATCACTTCTGAGGTGATTGTAGCTATTGCTATTGCTGCTACAGCAGCCATTGTATCTGGGACTGCCATCTCACAGTCTGTAACTATAGTGAATAAACCAGCACAGGAAGTAACAGAGGCTCTCAGCACTCAGAGCTCCTTAAACAACTTAGTCCAGGTAGGAGTTTTAAATCCTTAAACCTGTTCGCCTACCCTGGCACACATTTGTGTTACTCCTGCAAAGTTTACACTCATCAATTGGCCAATGAAATTATTAGGATGAACGAGACCTGGGATTCTTCATCCTGTGGAGAGATCATCCTTAAGGGATCCAAGATGGCAGGTCATTTAATTAAAGAATGGGCCAGGTCCCCATCTCTGGGCCTTTAGCCATAGGACTTATTATCATCTACTTTATTCAGCTAAGACGCCGTGGTGCTAGACAAGTCCAAGCTGGAGTTGTCACTTAGGACCACAGAGAATCCCTCAGCTAAACTATGGTTCAGCCTACTGAAAAATTAGATGGTCAATGACAGGTGAGACTAAGGGGATGCCAACCACCCTAAGACAGGAGGGTCATGCAGCCCGGGTGATTTCTCCATTCATGGGTAAGGTTGGCTTTAACCTCCTAGCCACCCCAGACAGGCATTAATTTATAAAGAAGGGGGAGATGTTGGGCCCCAGCCCCCATGGGGTCTCTGTGAGTCTCTAGTCAGCCAACAGTTGCGTCCTGTTTTCCAGTCCAAATGCATCCTGTTTTCTAGTCCTGGCTGACTGCCCTGGCCTTGCCCCCCTGACATCAACATCTAGCACGAGGAAAACACGATCTCTTCCACCTGGGGTTTTTCCACTGTGCTGCAAGCCTGTATATAAGACTGCTTCCTCTCTACAATAGAGAGAGACATCTTAGCATTTGCAATAAAGACACACACACTCATTCTCTTAGCACAAATGGCGAGATGTCTTGTCTTTCATTTCCCAATGCATCAGACTTGCTTGTGTCACAGGAGATACAGCCTTGCCTGCCTAAGGCACCTGATTGGTCTAATAAAAAGTTGAACAGCCAATAGCTAGGAGGAGAGGGATAGGAGAGACAGCTGGGCAGAAAGAATAAATAGGAGGAGGAATCTAGAAAGGAAGAAGAGAATGGGGCGGGGAAGAGAAGACCACACCCAGGGCAAGAAGCCAGGCAGCCATCAGTCAGACCTGAGAAGCAGTCAAAGTAAGGTATACAAAAAGAAAAGAATTTAAAAAAAAAAAGGTAAAGCCAGAGGCAAAATGAAGAGAAAAGGTTAAGTTATAAGAGTTAGCACAAGGAGCATAAGATGAAGCCAAGCATCTCCTTGTCATGATTTAGGAGCTAGTGGGTGGACCCAACAGAATAAGCCTGGCACAATCTCCCTTATCTGAGGTAACTGGAGTGGCCAAACTCACAACAACAAAGAGTAAACCGAGGGGAGCCATGGGCTGAGGAAGGGAAGGATGAGGGAGTTTGGTGAAGTAGGCGCTGTGTAGTGACTGTGCGGCAGTGTGAGTGTACTTAATGCCCTTGAACTGTATACTTTAGAGGGTTAAATGGCTTTTTGTTGTTTGCTTGCTTTTGCTGTTGGGGATCTAATGCAGGAACTCCAACATGCTTAATCCCAGGGCTCCACCTTCTAGCCCTAAATTGGTGCATTTTCTGGCCTGTGTACATAAGCGCTGTCTGTCAGTGTTAGCTTGGGGTGACCTAAGGAGCGAGCCACACCTCCAAGCACAGCAGGTGAGGCTACAGGGCAGCTCTGCTGACATTGGGTGGAGCTCGTGCTCCTGGCCAGGGCAGGTCCAGACTGTAGCCTCAGATCTCTGCCTCATGCTGTAGGTATCTGCCCACTTGGAGCCAGCGTGCCTCGGAGACACCCAGGGAACACCCCCAACTGTAAATCGGAGCTGCTTTCTGACTTCGAAACTTCTGATATAAAAAAGAAAGACCCACTACATCTCAAAAATCCAGTTTCCATGGAAAATCCCCACAGTGTATCTGTCGACACGAGACAGTAACTGTGTTATGCAGATATCTATGTGTGTGCACATGTGTGCATGCATGTTTTTAAATGTGTGTAAGCTTGTATGCGAGACCAGAGGATAACATCTGGTGTTATTTTGTTTTATATTTGAGACAGGGCCTATCACTGCCCTGGAGTTTGCTAAGTAGTTTAGACAGACTAGCCAGCCAAGCCCAGGGATCCTCCTGCATCTGTCTCTGCAACACTGGGATTACAAGCAGGAGACACCACACAAGTATGGTGTAATTGTTTTGTCAAATGTTTATAAGAAGTAATAATTCTCACCAGATGTGGTGACATATACCCCATAATTCCAGCAAAAAGGACAGTGAGGCTGGAGGATTGCTGTGAGTTCCAAACAGCCTGAACTATATAACAAAACCCTGTATAAAGGAAAAAAAATGAACCAACAAACAAGGGCTGTCTAGTTGGTTCAGTGGGTAAAGGCGCTTGTAGCCAAACCTGATGACCTGAGTTCATTTCCTAGGACCACATGGTGAAGGGAGTGAACCAACTCCTACAAATGGTTTTCTGATCTCTCTATACATTCATCAAGGCTTCAGTACACACACACACACACACACACACACACACACACACACACACACCACCACCACCACCACCACCACCACCACCACCACCACCACCAGCAGCAATACAACAAAAATAAAGAAATAAACATAAAACCCACAAAGTGCTCATTCTCATGTCAAGTCATGTCTGTCTGAGTTGGGGAGGGGGGTCATGGGAACAGGCATGTTACTGCAGGGTTCACATAACAGGGTGGTGTATACGTTTCTCAAGGAATTTATAAAAGCTGATATCGACAGTGTCAGATGTCTCCAGTGGAGAAGACAATGGGACTTTAGGAGAAACAGTGTATTTATATAGACCCTTTCTTGGTTTGTTAGAGAAATGTGCTGAGTCTTTTAATAATGCCAGCTCTTTTACTAAACACTAACCCTAACCTTAACTCTAACCCTAACACTCAGGGCAGGGAAAGCTGGGAATAGTGGAGATCAGAAGCAACCAGAGAGATAAGGGGAAGTCCTTACATTTGCAGACTTTAGAAGGGGAGGCTGCATTTAGCTGATTAGTGAGTGTACTCGGTGTGTGAGGCCCTATCTAGGAAGTGAATCCTAATGCCCCACCCTACCTTGGAGATTCGAAATGTTAAGAGAGCCACTGGAGAGGACATGGCACCTCCTCTATGGGGAAAGCCTCTCCGACACATCAGGGTGGAGAGTTGCTCTTCTCCACCCCACCCTGTGTAACATCTGGGTTTTGAATTATGTGCATGTAATACATGCGCAAAAATAAACTCCAAAGAGAAATCAACCATTTTTGTCTTCATCTCCCGCAACTTTTGCTTGGAGCTGAACATTTAATCCCTAAGAAAAACATTCAAAAAATAGAAAGATGAGTATACTCAGTGCTGGAGACACAGCAGGGGACAACGGAAAATCCCCACGCATGGGAAAGGTAATTACATGCAGGCATCTTCAATCTGTTGGCATTGTGTCATAACACTATCACCTACAGAGTTTGCTCCGGAGCACTGTGCAACTGAGTCCAACAAATTACAACTTGCAACAACATAAAACCACCTTACACTGTTTTAAGTAAGTAAATGATTTTTTCTTTCCTTTTTTTGTTTGTTTTTTGTTTTTTTGAGGCAGGGTTTCTCTGTGGTTTTGGAGGCTGTCCTGGAACTAGCTCTTGCAGACCAGGCTGGTCTCGAACTCACACAGATCTGCCTGCCTCTGCCTCCCAAGTGCTGGGACTAAAGGCGTGCGCCACCACTGCCCGGCAGTAAATGATTTTTTTTGTTTTGTTCTGTTTTGTTTGAGGCAGGGACTGTCTGTAGCCCTGTCATTCCTGGAGCTCACTATGTAGACCAGGCTGGCCTCGAGCCCAGAGATCCCACCTGCTGTGATTAAAGGCAAATAGCACCAAGCCCAACCTCGTTAATGATTTTGTGTTGGTCTCTTTCTGAGTTATCCTGGGGAGTTGTGACCTGCGGACTGGACACACCTGCACGGAAATAAAGAGCAGTAACTGAAAAGCACTGAGCAGGTTGAGAGTCATGGGGGAGACTTGAGAGTGGTACCAGCTACAACTAATTAATCGGTCTCACTTAGCTCAGACTGACCTCAAACTCACAATGCAGCTGAGAACACGCCTTCCTCCTGCTAGGCTGTGGGGTACCATTTAAGCAGACGATTAGGAAACCCTTTTACATGGACTATCTGATTTACACACTTGTATTTTGTAGACACTTGTGTTAGCCAGGCAACTTTGTACGGGAAGATCTTTCTACATTCCAGATTCCTTAGGGCAGTGATGCATGGTCACTCAGTCTTAAGTGTTTCTGCTCATCAAGATCTCATCATCTTGAGGCTGGAGAGAGGGCTCAGCAGTTAAGAGTCTTGCTGCTTTTTCAGAGGACCACGGCAGGTTCATAAACACCTATAACTATAACTACAGCTCCAGGAGATCCAACGTCCACTTCTGGCCTTTGAGGGCATCCAAACACATGCGGCATGCAGACACACATAGACACAAATAAAACTAGAATTGGATGCATAGGACTTTGTCATCTCAGCCAGTTACATGGCTCAGTGGGTAAAGGCACTTGCTGCCTAACTTGAAGACCCAAGTGCAATCCCTGGAACCCACATGGAGGAGGGAGAAATGCAACTCTACACAACCTGACCTCCTATGTGCCATGGCATGCTCCCACCGCCACTGACACAAGTAGTTAAACGTCACCCTTGATGAGTCATTCTTGTCTCCCTCACCACTAAGTGGCGTCTCCTCCTGTCAGCACTTCTTTCCTAGCTCAGAAACAGTGGCCCACAGCTCAGGACACAGCTCCTCTGCTTTGGGCCTACTATGTCCCGAACATTCTTCCATTCCTGTGCCAAAGGCTGCTCAGAAGTTCTGTTCACAGCAAACATGACGAGGAAGGGACTAACCACGGTGGTGCCTGATACAGGCTAGACCTTGGGAATGGTCTCACAGAAGTTTAGAGGCCAGGGCATGTGGCTGCATCAGAATAGGGCTTGCTCAACACGCACGACGCCTTGCCTTCAATGCCCAGCGACACTAACACTGGGTGTGGTGATGCATGCCAGGATTCCCAGTGCATGGGAGGCCAAGACAGGAGGATCACATGTTCAAAGTCGGCCTCAGCCATATAGCAAGTCTAAAGCTAGCCTGAGATACATGAGACCCCATCTCAAAAATAAAGGAAGGAAAAGTACTGGAGCACTCCTGTGAGAGAGAGCCCGGCTTGGAGGAGCACAGCTGTGAGAGAGAGCCAGGCTTGGAGGAGCACTCCTGTGATCTCAGCACCTGGAAGACAAAGGTAGGAGACCAGGTATTTAAGGCCACCCCTGGCCACTAAGGAAGTTTGACCCTATCTAAAGAAGCCAACAAACTAGAGCAATATATGAACTGTGGGCATACTATTCCACTACCCTGCTTAAAAAGAAAGGAAGAGGGATTGGTGGGACAGGTGGCCCCTTTGTCAAGAGTGCACTAGTTAGTATAGGTACCGCGTGGAAGGATTTGCCATTGGCTGTTTCCTGTCAGGGTTGAGGGGGCTGGAGCCAGAGGCTGCTGTAACGTCTTCACTTCCTTTGGCGTTTGACCTCTGAGTCGTGCACTACCAGGAAAAGGAAGAAACAGCAAAATAGTGTAGAGCTGGGTGGTGGTGACTCACGCCTTTAATCCCAGTGCTCAGGAGGCAGAGGCAGAGGCAAATCTCTGTGAATTTGAGGCCAGCCCAGTTTATAGAGCAAGTTCCAGGACAATCAGGGCTACACAGAGAAACCCTGTCTGGAAAAAACAAAGTAGAAAACTGGCTGGATGACAGAAAACAAAGCAACGGGAGGAAAGCAAGAGCAGCGGCCCTGTGGTGAGGCTGATTGGGTGCACGTCGGTACCTTGCAGGGAAAAAAATGCACGTGAGTGTGTGGGTGTCGGACACAGGAAGTGTGTGAGCGTAACAGACACACCACCGGTTACTACCACAAACTTACATTAGAAGGGCAGGGAAGGCTGGGCGGTGGTGGAGGCGGCAGCAGTGCACGCCTTTAATCCCAGCACTTGGGAGGCAGAGGCAGGCGGAGCTCAGTGAGTTAAAGGCCAGAATAGTCCTCAGAGGGAGTTCCAGGACAGGACATTACACACAGAAACCCTGTTACACACAGAAACCCTGTCTCAAAAAACCAAAACCAAACCAAAAAAAGGGGGGGGCAGGAGAGTGTGGCCTGGGGTTAATGACAAAAAAAACCCTCTCCCTACCCTATTGTTACAAAGGATGTGGAATTCCTAGGAGGCTTGAGTATGGGGTTGTGGGATGGGTAGGGGGACTGTTATTAATTATTAATCTTGCTGGACCAAAGGAAAGAAGCTCTCTCTCTCTCCCTCCCTCCCTCCCTCCCTCCCTCCCTCCCTCCCTCCCTCCCTCCCTCCCTCCCTCTCTCTCTCTCTCTCTCTCTCTCTCTCTCTCTCTCTCTCTCCACACAGGGCCCACAGAGTGCTTGCTGCTTGAGGACCTGAATTCGGTCTCTAGACCCCATGTAACAGTGTGTGCATGTAGTCCCAGAGCTGGGCCTGGGGAAACAGGCAGATCCCTGTACTTGCCCTGGGTCCCGCTGAGAGTCTATCTGAAAGAAATAAGGCAGAGGGCTATACTGAGAAAGCACTTGAGGGTGGCCTCCGGTCTCAACACAAATGCACACAAACTGCAGAACAGTGATGCTGTGATTTCAGTGGGATGTAGGGATTTGCCAGCCTCTATATTCTACAGGCTTGCCCACACTGTCGGGAGTGTTCTGTTTTGCATCAATTAGCCAAAGGAAGAAGTCACACCAAGATGACTCCTTTAGGCCTGTGTGGCAGCAGGAAGGTCAGTCCCTGGGGAACTGAACCTTGAACAGCCATACAATTTATTGATTGTTACGTAAAGTAAACTATTTCCTCATACCAAGGCCCCCAATCTAATCTATATGTTTCCCTAAAGAAAAGTACCACACCCCTGCTACTTTAGTCCTTATTGTGTTTTGCAGAACCCAATAATCCAAGAGCTTCAGTTGTGCCAGAAGTGTCTGTGACCAAAGACATGCAAAGGCTGTAATGCCCCCTCAGAAGAACAATGTTACAAATCACAGGAAACAATCACTGTTTTTTCACAATGTTTCTTCAAGATCAAGGTAGTTCTAGAAAACAACTATTCAGTCTAATGTTTACAGTGACTCTGCTAAACACACACACACACACACACACACACACTATGGAATACCAGTTCTATTGCACGAACTGTACTTTTAGTGAAATATGTGAGTTTCCCAGCATCTCTGTTCCCCTGTAGGAAGACCACTGTCTTTCCTCACACACCCTTTCCTGGGTCTCAGGCTTTCTTACCAGAGGACGGCATCCAAACGGTGATAATCGTGTGGCTGACCTGGTCTCCCTTGCACACTCAGCCCTCTGTGCTTTGCACCAGCCTCATTCTGAGCCCATGCACATTTCTTAGTTGCTTGCTTAGATAGCTATGAAAACCACGAATGGACAGTATTAGTATTCGGGCATCTGTACTGGCCTGCCCTTGGGGTTCTGACAGGACACGCCCTCAGCTGCAGCCACTAAGAGCACCTCCTGTGCACATTCACTACATTCCCTTATAAAAGGGTCCTGCCCCCCTCCCGTCTTTTTTCTCTCTGTCTGTCTGTCTGTTCCTCTGCTTCTCTGCCTATCTCTCCGTCTCCCCCCACCATGCCCCTCTGTTCTTTTCTGCTGCTCCTACCCACAAAGGCCAGGCTCCCTCTCCCCTCCCATTTGCTCCTGTACCCTTTCCCTTAATAAATATCCCCTCCACCTGAGGTCTGTCGAATGGCATCTTTTTCTCTCATGCCGGTTTTTAATAATTACAGCAAATAGGGTCACGTGGCTGCGTGTTGTTAGCCTTCCTCTAGCTCTGCTGTGGCATCACTGCAGGGGTGAGTGGAGATGGGACAGACCCACGCAACTAATATTGGGAAAAGGGGTGCAGATATTTATTTAGAGAGAGAGCAATCACTTACGCAAAAAAGCCAGGTCAGTGCTCTGTGGTCTCAGAACCACGGCCAGGATCCAAGAGAGCAGCCCCTCCTCTACCTCTCTTATCCATGACTCCTCCCACGCACCCTCGTGGTTGTGCGTGATCTCTCCCCACAGGTGTGGGTCATGATCAGGGCATCTATAGCAAGCATTTCTACATCCAACCAACTCCTCCATGTTCAGAATGAACGTGCTCTACAAAGTCTTAACGATTGGTCATGTTTGCCTAGGCTAGAGAATCCTTAGCCTCCCATCCCATTCCTCCACGTCTCAGATGCCCCATTAGATCCTCAGCCCTGCCCTCGAGGGGGTGAGTTCAAGACTTGTGTCTCAGCTGGGCGGTGGTGGCGCACTCCTTTAATCCCAGCACTCAGGAAGCAGAGGCGGGAGGGTCTCTGTGAGTTCGAGACCAGCCTGGTCTACAGAGCGAGTTCCAGGACAGCCTCCAAAACAATACAGAGAAACCCTGTCTTGAAATACCAAAAAAAAAAAAAAAAAACAAAACAAGAAAGAAAGAAAGAAAAAAAAGGACTTGTGTCTCCCACCTACATTCTTCGAAGCCAACTCTGTTTTTTAGAACTTATCGATTTAGTGATTGGTATACTATATCACATATTTTGTTTAGTATCATATACACCAAACACTCACAATCTAGGGACTTCTACAGTTGCCAAGAAGAGAAGGTGGGAGGGCATATGTATGTATGTGTGTGTGTATGTATGTATGTGCGTATATGTATATACGTAGTCTGCCATCCCCTGGGTGGCAGCAAACATCCAAACATCCATGTTGTGAACTACCCACGGTATTCAGGTGAGTGACTGGGAAGGAGTGGCTGAGAACAGCAGTGTCAGAGAGGAAATAGGTTTTCCATCCTAGGACTGAGTGGACTGGAGCCTGCTAGCTCCTGGGAGCACATTTTCCTGAGCCTCCAGGTGGGAAGTCAGCCCAGAGTCAGGGTTTCAGGCCTGGGAGGCATTATCTGTACATTGCTATGGTTGTGGTAATCTCCCAATAGAAAACAATGGGCAGTTCCGCCCTGGTTTTCTGGAGCCAGGTTCTTCCGTTTCTTACTTACCTGATTGGCCTTACAGATTCCCCAACAGTTCCGATGGACACCATGGCCGACTGACACACGCCTGCAGACGCATCACTTTGGGTGTGCCTGTGACAATCAAAGGAGGTAGTTTTCGATCTCATCCCTTTTCCTCAGGTAAAACTGACAGCTGGCAATCCACAGGTGAGCCCAGTGGTCCCGTTCAGATGAGGTCATACTTGATGGACAACATGTTCACTTACAAATAACACAAACTTATCAGAAATGGCTTAAGGGAATAAAAGAGATAGGGGAATTATTATGGAGATCATCCCAGGGAAGTTCCAACTAAAACTGCACCTGGGACCCCTAGAGCACATACCATGAACTGCTGGTCTCCATGTCACCTTTGACCTATATGTCATTCATTTGAGTAAATTTTGCCACAAGGCAATTTAGTCAGGCTGTTAATTTATCAAGTAGTTCCATGAGAAATCACTGGGAACCATAAATAAAAGACAGTGTTCCGTCCAGCAGAACCAGCGGCTGGAGTTGCCACCCCCCCCCAAGTGGCAGCAGAACACTTTCCACAGGGGACTGCCCAGACTTGTGCCTGGGTGGGCCATAGGAGTACCAGAGAAAAGCACTAGAGGCCAGGTGGTGCATGACCTAGCTGTTAGGAGCAGTTATTAAACACCACAGCATCTTTGCAACAGAGAGAGAGAGAGAGACAGAGACACAGACACAGACACAGACAGAGGTGGGGGGGAGTCCCCCAAGGTGTGTCTACAGTTACAGAGTGCAGTATCTATAATAGGCTTAAAGGAATGTGCCTTAGGGCTGGGTCTAAACATCTTCACCAGTGCCTGGGAGTGCCCCAGCTTGGGGAAGTACACACACAGGTAGTGTGACAGATTCAATAAGCTGCTCACTGTCTCTCAGCCAGGACACAGAAAGTAGTTGAGAAGAACTGGGAGAACCCAGCAAGTCTTTAATCTGGTGATGACAAGGACAGAGGGATGGAGACAATGACAGTCATGTGATCAGGCAAAGAATAGAAAGTGTTAGAAAGTGACAATACTAGAGAAAAAGGACTGTGTTTTTGAAGACATTGAGTTGAAAGGGAGAGGGGGACAGATCTTGAACAGCTTTGAATGTGTGCCATGGAGACAGATTTTATCTAAAGGGAGGTTGTTTGGCAGCAGGGGGCTATTGCCTGGAGAAGAAATTGGAAGAGTTTTGGGGTGGACCCTGCAGGCCTGAAACTGGCCCAGGAGGGGTGGCACTGTTGAGACAGAAAGCACGTTAATAGCATTTAGTTTTGTAGCCATGGGGACAAGGTAAGACAGAGAGAGACTCTTGGGGTGGGGGGAGAGGCATCGGAGCGGTCACAGGGCAAGAATGTGCCATGCGGTCACCAGAGTATAAGCTCCAACCAATAAAAGGTGAGTTTCATTGAATCCCATCCAACAATGAGAGATGCACTCTCACCCTGGACTCTTGGGGGAGGGTCTAGGCCCTGTTCTGGATGAAATGACAGACTATGGACACCCCCATGGAGGGCCTCACCCTCCCTGGAAAATGAGGGGATATCGGGGGGCTGGTGGGAGGGCACAAGAGGAGAGGAGGGAAACAGAGGGGGACCTGGAATTGACATGTGAAGCAACCTTGTTTCTAATTTAAATTTAAAAATAAATATCTGAAAAAATGAAAAAAAGAAGAATCTAGCTTCTTCTGTGCTCTTTGGAGTCTTGTGGATAGCTTGTGGGTGCCCTGCCCTTGATGGCAGGCAGCTCAGCAAACACTTCTCAGATGAGCAATCCTTGAAAGAAGCTGGCCATGGCGATGACCTCCCTTGAAGAACTACAGAGCAGAGGAAAGTAAGTCAGCTTTCTGTTTCTGGAACAAGATACCTGAGATAATTAACCTGGAGATGAAGGTTAGCTTGGCTCATAGAAGTTTGAGGGTCACTGATTTGGGACCTGGGGTGAGGAAGTATATTGTGGTGTGGTGTGGTGTGCAGATTGGAGCAACGGCTCACCTCATGGTGGCTGAGGAGCAAAAAGAAAGGAAGGGACAGGGTCCTACAGTCCTTTACAGAGCATAGACCCTATGACCTAACTTCCTCCTGCTAGGCCTCGCCTCTCAAAGGTTCTACCACAGACTGGGGGCTGTGTGTGTGTGTGTGTGTGTGTGTGTGTGTGTGTGTGTGTGTGTGTGTGTGTGTGTGTGTGAGAGAGAGAGAGAGAGGGGGGGGGAGTAGGAGTGTGTATGTGTTGTGTGTGGGAGTGTGTGTGTATGTGAGTGTGAATGTATGACTGAGTGTGAGCATGTGTGTAGTGTTGTGCCCAAGTTGCAAAGTCCCCAGAGACCATCAGGAAGACCCACCAAACTGCAAAAGCAAGGTTTAAGGATTGTTCATCCACCCATGACAGGGACCCCATCTAGCAAGCTGATGTAAGCAGCCCCCAGAGCGAGTTAAGTTCCTGTCTACTGCTAGGTTTTAAAGACAAAAGTTACAGGATTACATCAGTAGGTATGGGTTGGTTTTTGATTGGTTGACATTTGGGTACAATTAGGAACATTTTTCAAAGTCATATTTTGGCATGAAATACCTGTGTACCAATTATTTTTATTGGTCAGTGCTGAGAGGGAACATTCTGTGGTTTCTATGGCACTGTCTTGTTACTTGCAGGTGGCCTGTTGTACATAGATAGCAATAGTTTTCAGAACTGTATATTGGAGACTACAGGGGAGGTTTTGGTCTCTCCTGGAGTTTCTTTTGTGGCCAAACAGTTCCCAGGAACCGAGTATCTAGGAGGCTGGGGGGGGGGGAGCAGTTTGGAGTTTCTTTGTGTTCAGTTTTGGCCCTAGACTCCCAGGAGGCCAGGGGATCTGGAGTTTCCTTGTGTCAGAGGCCTGTGTGTCTTTTCTGTAGCCTGTCATGGCTGCTAAAGCAGGGGGCTGAGTGAGGGTCTGGTCCCTTTATTTCTAAATTATCAGAAGTGAAGCCCTTGAGTTTAGTTTACCCCTTTCAAGTAGGAGTGAGTGTGAGAGTGTGTGGGAGTGTGTGCGGGGATGTGAGAGAGAGAGACAGAGAGTGTGTGTGTAGGGGTGATCAACACTTAACCTGTAGCAAAGGGGCCTCGGCCTCTTGGACACACTGCCTCAGGGACCCTGCTGACCCTGCAAGCAAGAGTACCCAGATGGTTTTCTTTCCATAGAATTCCCCCGCACCGTTTTCTCTGCATCGCCCCAGAGCTTCAGCACCTGGCTGTGACGCCCCGTGGTCTAAGGCAGATGCTTCAGTACCAGTTTATACCCGTCAGTCCCGCCTCTCCTACAGTTTCCCTTTCCCAAAATGGCTCCTGAATTGTCATTGTCCCCAAACCCTCT